ATGATATTATTGTGATGTAAAATTTTTAATGAATCTAAAATAGTTGAATATATTTCAATACATGAATTATCTTCAGACAAATCTAAAAATTGACAATCTTTGATTTTGATTAAAATTGTAAATCCTAACGAATTTAATTCGTTGATGGAGATAGGATTTTTTGTATCATACATTTCTAATTTTATAAAATTTTGATTTTCGGTAAACATAAAGGTTATGTATTTTTTTTCAATGAAATAATGAAATGAATATTTTTTAGGATTTAATGATCTAGTAGAGACGATATCATCTTCTTCATATTTTATTTTTATTGCTTTATTAGGGTGGTTTGTTTCAAAATAATCATTATAATAACTATCTTGATTGTAATTAAACCTAGGTGGTTTATAATAATATTTTTTAGATTTATTATAATGATACGGATACATTTTAAAATAATAATTTTTATTTATAGATATATTTATTTAAATGTAAAAAAATACATAAATAATAAATTAATAATTATTTATCCTGTTTGTTTAAATTAAAAATATTTGTTTCTTTACTGAAATCTTGAATTACAAATAATTCTTAATTTTTATAAAAAGGAGTTGTATCTTTTGTCCCGTCATTATATAAAATTATAAAAAATCTCGTAAAGTCTCTCATGATAAGATCATTATCAACTTTATTAAACTTACCATCACAAATACAAATTCTTAAGCTTTTAATATTATTCATATTTCTTCTTAAATAAGTTTTTAAATCATATTATGTTGAAAATTTATCTTCTTTAAGTAATAAATCAAAATCTTCAAAATTAGTTTCATCATATTTATATTTCAGACCATCTTCATTAATGTCATCATTTATTTTTGTTTTTTCATTGTTAATATTTTCTTTGGGTTTTTCAATAACATTTTCTTTATGTTTCCAATTATTAATAAAATTTTCAGATTCTTTTTTTAATAAATCAATTTCTTTTTCTTTAATATCATACTCAATGTTATCAGAATTATCAGACACGATATAATATTCATCATCGCTATTTTTTTTATAATTATATCTATTTCTTTGTTTTGTATGCTTTCTTTTTTTGATTTTTTTGATATGTTTTTAGGTTTTAAATTTTCAATCTTTTCAATATCAGAATCAGAATCGTCACTTGAAATCACAAAGTTGCGTGATAAATTAATTTCACGTCCACTACTTGTTATTACAGAAATAGAAGAATCATTGTTGTTATATTTGTTAATCAGTTTGGTTTAAAATTCTTCTTCTATTTTTCTTTTTCTATGATTATACATATCGATACCAATATTAATTTTTTTTCTGGTAATAGTGCTGCTAGTTGTCTTGGTTTTCAATTCTTTAGATCGATAAGATTTGATATAATATTGAATTGAAGATTTATTCTTAAAATCGATTTTAATTCTATTTTCTTCTGCTTTTTTGAAAAAAGCTTTCATATATTTTTGAATATAATATTCAATCATTTTATATTGCTTTATAAAATTTTCAGTTTTATTATCATCAATATCATAATAGTAGTATGAATTATTTTGCGAATAAAAGATAAAGATGATTTTATCTTTTTCTTGTAAAAAAGGTAATTGTTTGATTTTTTTTGAAATGGTTTCATTTTCAAAAGTTTTTTTATAAAAAACATAAATGGAGATAGGAATTGATAAATATCTTTCTTTAATTTCAGTGTAAATTAGATCATCATGAGTTAATATTTTATAAAGCTCTTCTGATTTAGATTGTAATTGTTGATATCTTAAATATTGTAAACCAAAAAGAATAAATTGAAGAAATGGTTGAATCAAATTGGTTATATGAGCTTGATTTGAGAACATTTTTACTGATAATGATTGAATTTGAAATTTGTAATAGTTATTTTTATTGTATTTAAATTATTAATTGAAAATAAATATAAATAATAATTGATTTTAAAATTAATAATCAAGGAAATGTTCGTGTATATTTACAATTACATAAAGAGTTATTTTAATAATATGATTTAAAATAAAAAATATGTTGAATACAAGTATTACTACAAATATTCTGTGAAATTTTGTAATGAGATTATGAAATGGATAAGAAGATCAACTATCAATCCTTTAATTGCAAAATTAAAATGGGAATGGTTAATTACTTTTAATTATATTGATGAATTAGAAAATAAATTGAAAAAATATGATCAATTTAAATTTGAAGAAGTTATCAAGGAAATATGTAAAAATTTAGCTATAAAAGAAAGGAAGGATGTTGTTGAAAACATCGAATCGATTCTTAAATTTTCACAACATATTAGTAATAAATAATATGGCACTCAACAAGCAATATCTGATATTTGATTTGAATATATCTCATACTCGAAAAATATTAGTAATGGGTTTGATAGAACAATTAATATCGATGAATATTATGGTTGAAGGAAAAGTGAATATTTTTAAAAAAACATTTCAAAAATATTTTATTAGTACTTTTGACTTTGATGGAAAAATCAATCCATTAGAGTTAGATGTATTTACCAATCACACTAAAGAAATTTGGTATAATGAAAATAAAAAACCACATAAACGTGAAGAACTTGTTAATCTAATTATGAAATTGTATAAATCTATAAAAGATAACACATTTGTATTAGATGATGAAATGTTATTAAAATGCTCTGGTATAATTGATATATATTGTAATTATTTATCAAAGAATCTTATAGATATAAATCTCGAATTAATAAAAACTAAGGTTAAAGCAATTTGTGAAAAGCTTCAGGTGAATTATACTTAAAATGTATACACAGACCTCGATTTGATATTGGAAGTGGTCTTACAAATTATTAGAGATAAATAAAAAATATTATACCACTTTAAATAAAAAAGAATATCCATTAATCGATCTTGATAAAATGACACATGTGAAAAAAATATATTTTTTAAGATGGGTTAATAATAGCAAATATGAAAAATCTTTATTTCAAGATGTAATAATAGATTTATGGAATAATAAAATATCAGATAAAAATTTAGATAGGATTTTTCAAACTTCGTTGTTGTACTATATTAATAAATTCAAATCATCCAATGGGTATTATGATTTTTTTAGTGAAGAGTATAAAAAAAGATATTTAAAAAGCTTTTTTGATACCGTGAATGAGTATTGTGAATATCTGAAAATTAATAAATCAAATACTGAAGTCGAACCCAATCAAAAAGAACCTCAACAAGAAATAGTTTTTCCATCGATTGAAAGATGAGTTACCCAATTGAAAACCCATTAGTTAGTTTTTCAGACATGTTATTTGTACACAAATTACATTACATTTGTAAATCTCATTTAACTACCAATCCAAAAAAATATCAAGAATTAATAATAAATTATTACAAGAATGGAGATAATATTAATGTTTCAAAAGATATAGTAACATGAAATCATTTAGGAGATGTTATTATTCATAACCAACCTATTGATTACGAAAAGAAAAATAAAAAAGTCTATGATTATTTGACAGACAGAGGGGTAAATAAATATACCAATACCGATTATATTAAAGAGATTTAAAAATATTTTTCATATTTAATAGAAAATAAAAAAAAGAATAGAGATGATGACGAATATGAAATTCAGAATCCTATAACAAAATTAAATGAAATGTATTTTCCATATCAAATTTGTAAAATTTCTTATAGTAGATATATTAACAATCCTATAAAATATCAATTGATGTGTATAGCTTATTTTTATGGAAGTAATGAAACATCTTCCAATGATGTGATTTGGAAAAAAGGTGGTGCAAAGGTATTATTAACAATAGCTCATGATAGAACAATGCGAAACAAAGAGATTATTTTAGATGTTCTTCAAAATATAAACAAGAATTCTTATTCTAATTTAGATTATATAAATGAAACACAAAATTATTATGAATACGTATTACACGTTTATAAAGAAGGTTCTATATATGATCCTGTTGAACTTGTTAAACAAGAAATAAAATTATTGAAAGAAGAGGTTAATTTAATTAAAATTTCATATGAAAAAGAGGTAAAATTATTAAGACAGGAATTTGATTCATTCAAGAAATCGATCGATAAGCAAAAAAAAATTGATATGTTGATAACAGAAATATGCACGATGTTAAGCATAGATTCAGATAATAATTTATTAAGAATACATAATGCTTTGGTATTAAATAACAACACGGATAATTTGACAAATCAAAAAGAAATCATCAAATCAATATGTGATGTACTTGATATAAAATACTTAGAAAATAACGAGTATCGAAATCTTACAAATATAAAAGAAACCATTAGAAAAAAAATATTTATAAATGAATAAATTAATAAATTATAATATTAGATAATTTTTATTTGAAATGAGTTATATTTTTAAAAATTTAGGTATTCGTATTACAATATATGAACCCCGTGATGTTGGTACTACTAAAAAAACTACTCAAGGAATCTGTAAAGATTATCCTTTTGGCAAAACAATTCGATTCTATGTATATGATGGGAAAGAAGTTGATTTTCAACTACAGATTTTCCTATAGAATTAAGAAATCAACTTCAAATTACTGAAGATTATATAACCAATAAAATTAATGAATTACAAGAAAAAATTGACAATTTAAATCTATTACGAAAAGAATTTGATTTAATTAAAGAACAAGAGAAAATTAATATTTTAATAAGAAAAATATGTGTGATATTGAGTATAAATTTGGATAATGATTTATTAAAGATATATTATGCTTTATTACCAAATAATAATATAGATAATATTACAGATCAAAAAGAAATTATCAAAAATATTTGTAATTCTTTAAATATTACATATATAGAAAATAACGAATATCAAAATCTTGTAAATATAAAAGAATATATTCAAAAAATAATAGTTGTAAATGAATAATAAAATATTCTATATACTTAAAACAAATTCTTAATTATTTCACATATTAATCTTAATTATCTTATATATATTTAATCTTCCTTTAAAAGATTATTTAGATTAATTATCTCATAGTACCCAATACTTTTCCAAATATTCACAAAATTTTCATCAGATAATATAAGTTGTGCAATTATAAGAAGTTGAGTATTATTTTCATACCCATCTGTGAATGAGTAAATATTTTCTAACTTATAAGGTCTTTGAGGAAATGAGATGAATTTTTTATTTAAAATTAAATCTTTTAATTTATTCATATTTTTTTGAATCATATTTGGTTTACATAAAGAACAGAATAATTCCATATCATCTCCACATAAAGAAAGATCTTTAAATTTTTCTCTCGCAGTATTTAATAAATATACATATATTCTGATATCCAAATCAATTCCAAAAAGTTTTGTAATGATATTAAAACTCTTTTTAAAATTTTCATCATTATTATATCATAATTTTAATTGATATAGTTCAGGATCACAATTTTCTAAATAAAGTCTTTGGATAAAATATCTGGATAAGATACCCTCTTGATTTAAAATATTTTTTACAATCTCAATTATTAAAAAAGATGGACTGAGCTTAATGGCATAAAATAAACTATGTGCTCTCCCATAAATATGAATTAACCAGATCGCTTTGTTTATAGGGTCGTTTACCAAAAGATGTATTCTTTTACAAGTTAACATTAGATTCAAAAGAAATTTTATATTCTTAATGATGTTAATAAGAACTTCATTGGGGAGTTTTTCTTGCAAATAGTTTTGTTTATTCATGTTTATTAAAAAAAATAAACCAAGCAAACAATAATTTGCTAAATATTCTAGTATTTATATATTTAATTTTGGAATCTTAATTACTAAAATATACGATTTTAATATAAAAATACAATAAATAATAAGTTAGCATATAAGAAATCAATTTATAATTCTTTAAAAATCATATATAGAAAATACAAATATCAAAATTGTAATATAAGAAAATATATTAAAAAAGAATAATTATATATGAATAAATATTTATTTATCTTTCATTTGTCTCTCTAATTCATTTTTCAATTTCTCAATCTGATCTTTTAAATCATCATTTTCGCTTTCTAAATGAGCATGGCTTTCATGTAATTCTTTAATAAATTTAATTAATTTATTATTTGCTTTTTCATTACCTAATCTGATAGCAGCTTCAAAATATGCCTTTCTCAATCCTATTTCTTTATTAATTCCAAGCTTACCATTACAAAAAATATCACCCAGATAACAGTAAGCATCAGAATGTCCTCTGTCAGCTGCTATATGAAGATATTGAAGAATATTTTGTCTATATTTAATCATTATTTCTTCATCATCATCTTTCTTATAATTAGACATTAGATATACCGCATAACGAGCTGCGGAATCAGGATAAAATCTATCAGCAGCATCTTTATACAATTCAATACTTCTTTTTTTATCTTTTTGTCTTTCATTATCATCAGTATATTCAATACTATAACCGTATTCTAAATAATACGTTGCCCAATAAGCAAAAATTTCTGATAATTTATCAACATGTGAATTTAAACATTGAATTATGAAATTTCTCTGTATCTCTTTAACTATTTTTTTTCATTTTCTGGTAATTTATTTCTATTTTAATGATTTCGAATAAACAAATTGTTAAATTCAATAAGAAGTTGTACTGCTTTAGATAGTTCGAGTTTTTCAGAATTAGCTTCATAATATTCAGTAAATGTGATTTCTTTAATATCTTCTTGATTCATCTTTTGTTAATTTTATTTAGATAATTGTTTATATTTATATTTTTTTTTAATTAATAATTTTCTAATATTTTTAATAAATATTTTGAATTTTCTATTTTCACAAGTAAATTTAATAATTATTTTGATTAGTTTGGCCTTAGGCCAAACTAATTCAAATCTTTTGAGGAAAGCACAGCTTTCCTCTGCTCTCAAGTACTAACATAATAACTTTCATGGAAATGGCACCAGCCATTTCCTGGAAGTATAGTATTATTACGTTAGTACTTGAAAGCATATACTAATACTACTTAATGGATAAAACATACACAGATAATCATAACATCCAGAAAAAAAAAGAGAAAAAAGTGAATTCTATGTATATATTTTAAATTTAATATAAGATTATTTTCCAATCCCAGGGTAACATGAAACAATCAGAATTGCAGTTTCACTGATATAAAAGGAAAAAACGTGATTCTTCCTGCATTTTTCCAATATCTGGTTGTGTGCTAAAATTTGGTGATCATGTTTTTAAATTGAATTATTTTAAAATTCTATATAAAAAAAATCCAGAGTTTGGAATAACTGCGGTTTACTGCGGTTTTGAAATTTAGGTGTGAAATTTATTATTCATTATCGATGTGATATATTATCTTCTTCTGGGTCTAAAATCTCCTCTGTTAGCTTCTCTTCATAAATTTATATTACATATTCTGTGTCGTCTTCTATTTCTTACAGGACAGATATGATCATCATTGTCTAGATTTCTTAGGTAGTTATTTAAACATGCTGCTTGAAATATATGATTGTATTGACATGCTGAATATACATCAATTAAATTATCAAAATCAAAATTAAGATTGCATATAGGACATTTATATTGAATATTTTCTTCTGGATTTTCTCTTATTATTTCAGGTTGTCTCTGTCTTATTAATGGTTCTTCTTGTTATATGTTTAGTATGATATTAGGGTAAAAGAAAGGTTTTGGACCAAAATATCCGCTTCAATCTAAATTTATACGAAGGAGTAATTCGTTGATTAATTCATTTTCAAAATTATTTTGATTATCAATATAATTTAGTTTTACATATTTTATAAAAAATAAAAAAATAAATATTAATAATGTTATTTTTTTCATTTTGGAGATTTTTCTATACTAAATTTATTATATATTTATATTTTATTTTATAAATTAATTATTAATGTTAATTTTATAAATGAATCAATTTATTAAAGTTAAAATATAAAAATGAAACAATACAAAGTTAAACATGCATTAATTACTATTACTCTTTGTAAATGTTGTTCAGAAAGATTTAGATATAAAGAATCTATAGCAAAGGATGGATCACCATGTAAAAAATGTCAAAAGAATCATGTTCATTGTAGAAATTCATGTCAAAAATGTTGTAAACGATTTCAATACAATGATTTAACATGTTCAAATTGTGTTGAAGATGGAATTGAGTATAAAAGAACAATGATTACAACATATGAACAATTTAAAAAAGTTAATGAACAAGGTGTTAAATATTTTTCTGAACAGTATGAAAGAGGAGAAACTGGACGATTTCATGAGCAATGTTATATTCAATTAAATTCATGGATGAACTTTAAACAAATTAAGGAGATTTTTGGAAATATGAGTATGAATATAATGAATAATTTTTATGGAGGTGATAGAAGTGCTGTTGATATGTGAAATTATTCAATAAAGAAATATAAAAGATGTTCAGTTCATCGAGAATGTCGATGTGATTATTCTAATTTAGATTATTGTGATAAATGTGATGATTCTTGCCAGGAATTTCGTAAATTGTTGATTGTTTGTGATGAATCAGGAAATGAATTAATTTCGGATCAAAAAGGTTCATTTATTTTTGGAGAATTTAAAGAAAGAATAGGTAATGAAAAAATAAAGGTTGATGAAAAAGAACAAGGAGAGTTTGAAAAAGCTATAAATATTATACTTGATCAATCAAAAGGTTATGAATTTATTAATATTTTTAAACGAGATCCAAAAGTAACAAAACATATTATGC